TTTTTTTTTGTACCAGGGATCAAACACGGGACCTTGCACTTGGGAAGCAGGTGGCAGAACCACCGAGCTAAATCCCCAGCCCACGTCTGATTTTTTCAAGTCCTTTTTTAAAATTACTTTCTTCAGATGGTCTCAAAAACTGTAAGCCACAATGAAAGTCTCAAATGCACTTAAGGTGATGATAGTTACAAGCAGCCTTGTCATCAAGCCTGCATTCAAGAATCCTTTTGACCTCGAGTAAGTGAAAAACAGTTTGCTTAAGACGTCAAAGCAACAGTGGTTTACGAGACATTATGTTCCCAGGACACAAGAAACGCGCTGACCTCACTTCCTCCCTCTGGGCCTGTGTCCCCACGCATGCACTTACCCACTACCACCAACAGAGTCCATATTAAGTAGATGCCACTGTTGAAACACGCCGCGTACTGACGGAACAAGCACATGCAGATGGGCGGCAAAACGAAAAACAACACGTTGCTGATCTGAAGGGGAAGAAACATAAAATGAAGATGAAGATTAAGTGAAAGGGCAAAAAATAAAGCATCTCATCCAAGTGTGTCCTTCAAAAACTGGAAGGATTTGGCCAAGCATGGTGTCTACCTTCCTGCCTTTTGAGTTTAGTTTTTGTTTTTGTTTTCAGGCAAATATACAACGAGGCAACTTTGAAGCTTCTCTAATGACCATTTAGGGAGCTCCTTCCTGCCTGTCCCTCGGGTAGAGCCCTGCCGAGGCTTCTCTCTAGATTCAAAAAACTAGTAACTAGCAGTGCTCTACACAGATACATCATGAAGCATTCTCATCTACTTGCACCTACATTTTTCAAAGGTAAGGCCTATGCTATATAACGGTAAAGCAAAACAAAACAAAGACCAGACCAACATAAAAGCAGTTTGATGAAGGGGTGAAAGTGAAAAAGACAATGTTTTCGAGCTTCTGACTGTCAGTCTCCTGCCAGGAAGACCAGCCTTTTCTCCTCAGCCACCCTGGGTCAGCTTTCTCCCCTAATCTAAACCTATTTTAAAGTGAAGACCAAATTTCTCAGTTTCCCCCCAGCTTTAAAATGAGATCACTCTACTTTACACTTTGTGTAGAATTAAGCCTCCCTCATCAGTCTCCAGGAGGCATTCAGCTGTTTTTTCAATTGTTATAATATAACTTATTAAAGGCAATAGATCCAAAATATTGTTCGAACATGCAGTCACTGTTCAGATATCACCAGCCCGATATGGTGGCACATGCCTGAGATCCTAGCCACTGTGGGTGGGAGCAGGAGGACCGAGGCCAGGTCCAGCCTGGGCGCAGAGGAAGACCCCAGCGCAACCCATCAGGAATGGGACACACACCTTCCCTAGTTCACACCGAGGCTGCGTAAGGCAAGTCTGCATTTGGTCGGCCACACCTCTGTGCTCAGAAGCACCTGTGGCCAGAGACTACCGTATCAGAAAGCAGAACTCTAGAACCTCACTTCTTTTTTTTAATTATTTATTGTTTGATTACTGGGTTTAAAAAAAAAAGAAATCATAGCCAGCTTTTCCTTTGTGAATTTTTAAAATTGAGATAAAATTCACATACCATAAAATCAACCCTTTTAAAGTGTATAACTCAGTGGCACTTAATACATTCATGATGGGCAACCATCACTTCTAATTCCAAAACGTTTCCATCACCTCAAAAGAAACGCTCCAACTGTGGAGCGAGGTCCTCGTCTAGCTCTGTGCATGCAGCGTGCACCATGCAAAGACCACAGTGAGTCTGACAAGCCGTGCCAGTGAGGCCAGGCAGGAGAGGCCACAACAAGACTTCCAAGGAGAAGAAGCGTTCAGAGGTGAGAAGAGGCGGTAGCTAAAGTCTGGGAAGCGAAAGCCGGAGCTTTCAGAAAGGTCCCAGGCTGGCCACCGCAGAAGGTCACCTGAGGACGCCTGGAAAGATGCAAGGCTGCCCCACCGCAGCCACGGGCAAACGACTGCTCAAGCACTTCCAGGAGCAAAGCCCACACCTTGCAAATAGTGATTTTTAAAAAGGAAAGAAAGACTAAGTGGGAGAGAAACAAAACAAGCAAAGGCAGCAAGAATAAAAGAAGAGTCGGGAGAAAGAAAGAAGAGAGAGCAAAACCTTGTGCTGGGACAGGGCAGGAGCACAGCTGCCGCTGCCCTCGCTACTCTGCGTAAAGGGCCTCGGCTGGGTGGTCTGCCCCCTCGCCCTGTCTCCCTCTCTCTGCCCCTCTCAGCTACTGGACCATGGGTAAGGAAAGAATAAACTGCAGGACATCCCAAATGGCCTTCAGTCCTAAAAATAAGGCCAAACTGCATTTACCCAAAAGCAGGGTAAGCAAGAATCAGAGCACGGGTGTAAGCATAGGAACAGGTGTTTCCATCACTGCTTTTCTTTCCAATGGAACAACATAAAGAATCAGAGATCTCTAGGGTTAAAATGAAGGGCATTCAGACAGGCGTGGTGGCACATGTCTGTAATCCCAGCCCTCAGGAGGCTGAGACAGGAGGATCACAAGTTGAAACTCAGGCTGGACAACTCAGTGAGTTAGTGAGACTTGTCTCATAATAAAAAATTTTAGGGCCAGGGGTTTGGCTCAGTGGTTCTGCTGCCTGCCTGGCAAGCGCAAGGACCCCAGTTCAATCCCTGGTGCCAATAAATAAAAATTAAATTTAAAATTTGAAAAAAAGGCCAGGGACGTAGCTCAGCTCCAGGGCTGGCCAAGCTCAGAGACAATCAGCCACCTGGCACCACCAGTGACCTCCTCCCAGCACACCAAGCTGACTTTCAACTCCAAGGCACTCACCCACATCTGGAACCCAACTTGCCCCTCAGAAGGCACCTGAAAGTGGTGAGCTATCTCGTACTGTACACACATGGCCCATTCCATGGTTTAAACGTGGCTCTCTTGGGCTGGGGATTTAATTTAGCTCAGTGGCTTTTGCCTGCCTTGCAAGTGCAAGATCCCGAGTTTGTTCCCCAATACTGAAAAAAAAAAAAAAAACAACTTGGCTTTCTATTGTTAAATATAGTAGAAGAGGGAAGAAAAGGAGATGACGAGGTAAAGCAGAAGATGACGGAAAAGAAAAGAGGCAAAGAGGAAAAAGGAGAAAAATGAAACTGGTATGCCATGCCATAGGTAACTTCCTTTCTCTCTTCATATAGGAACACACTCTCCTTTGAAAGCAAGGACGGCTACAGAGCCAGTCTCTTTTTTGCCCTCTTCCCCAGAGATAGCTACTAGACTGCTAAGTCTCTTCTATGCATTTACATGAATGCACATACACATCTGTTCGCTACTGTAACATTGTCGCTCCCTTCCCCATTCAGGATATGCCTTGCAAACCTTCTCAGTGATGCAGCTCCTCGCTCGCTGCAAGTGCTGCAGAGAACAGCAGTCAGCCAGTTTCTAGGTCCTACCTCCAATGCCGGGGATACTCTACATTTTAACCTTTACCCCAGTACACCTCGACTGCCTGAGATCCTTCCAACTCCCCTTGCTTCGGTAAAGGACAACTCTCTCCTGCCATGCTGTCCTCGGGTGGCTCTACCAATTTATATCACCACTGGCAGCACAGTGCTGCACACGACTCCCCTCCTCTTTGCTGCAGTAGTGGGGATTGAACCCAGGGGTCCATGCCCTCTAGGCAAGCACTCTACCACTGAGTAGAGCCCCAGCCCCACCCTATACCCTTTTTTGTAGTCCCGTACCAGAAATCGAACTCAGGACCTTGTGCTCGCCAGGCAGGTGCAGCACCACTGAGCTACATCCCCAGGCCCCAACCCCCTTTTTAAGAGACAGTCTCACTTTTACCCAGGCTGGTTTCAAACTTATGATCTTCCTGTCTGAGCCTCTAAATAGCTGGAGTTTTAGGTATGTCCCACCATAGCCAGCCACATTAGTCACTTTTAAATGTATTTATATACTATTGACAAAGGCATGAAGTCGTCTATTATAGCTGCAGTAAAATGATGCTGCTCCAACCCTCTTTTAGGTGCACAATTAGAAGCACATTTAGACGCATGGGTGACACACGTCCTTGCTTTCCTGTGCAGCCCACCTAACCATGGCCCGCCGGCTCCACCGTCCTCCTAGAGACACCGGTCACGGGAGGAAAAGCCCAGAGTAAAGGGAGACTCTCCGTAAGGCAGAAAGAGGAAGAAACAACAGAAGAGCAGACGGGTTCCATTTCTACTGAGAAAGGAACGTCCTTCAAATGGTGGGGATCGCCGAAGCGCACAACAGTTCAGCAGAGGGGTGTTTCTACAGCTCCTTGTTGGATTCTCCTCTTGAGAATCAGTTTACTTAATACCCACAGATTTTTTTAATTAAAAGGAAACCACAATTTCAAAATGTGCGAATGTTTCCGTTCAAGGTTCCTCATTCTATGAGCTCCACGGAACGCTTGCTCCAAAGTAATCTCCAGAACACACTGGATCTCACCCTGGCGCCAGGCTGGAGACTTCCCACAGCAGGCTCGGCCGGTCCCAGACGGACGGCCTGACCCGGCAGACCCTGCAGGACCCTGTGTCTCAACGCTGTCTCCGGCCAGTTCTGCACCCCACTGTCCACTCCAGCTCTGGATGACCCGCTGGCTTTGCGCAGGGCGGGGGTTCCCAGGACGTGGCACTTTCAGGTAGAATCGGGAAAGTCTGAAGTAAAACCCTAGGGCAGCTCTGGTCACCCTACTGCACCCTTGCAAAAAACCCGGCCTGCCCACACAGCACACACCGAGCCACCCTCCTGGGCCACTCTGGGCTCCGTGACAGCCACCGGTGCGCTCGGGCGCAGCCCGAAGGGAGAAGACGCCGCTCGCCGC